AGATTGTGAGTCGAGCGCCTTATCCACCTGGCCATGCCGGGCCTATTAAAGTTTACTGATTGATTATTTTAATAACATACTTGTTGAATTTCCTATTGTTCAAATTTAAAAAACATACCAAAATCTGTATGTACAAAGGCTCGAGCATGGTGTACTGGTTAACGTATCACACTGAGGATTTGAGACGTAGGTTTACTAAGCAAGCTTCGTTGTTTTAGCGTTAAGTGCGTTATAAGAATGACAGTCGATTCCGATATTTAATGAAGAGTAATCGCTTCAAGTGCGGGTGCTGCAACTTGTTACTTTTCTTCTGGTCCTTGTTTCAAAATTTGGGACGGTTATGCCTGAACTACAGGGGTCTCTAGTTTGGCCGTTTATTCCAATATTTGTGTGTAAGGTGTCGTTCAGGTAAACATTGTGTTCATTGATCTTCAATACAAAGTATAAAACTATATATAACAGATTTTTGCTATTCTTGTGGTTCGATACTGTTTACCATCAATCTTCGGATTCACAGTCCGGCACATTAACCACTTGTCCACACTAAGATGGTCGTATATTGATTGTTAAGCACAAAGCCACACAATGGGATATCTGTTCTCTGCTCACCGTGGGTATCGAAACCTGATTTGTATCAATATAAGCCCTTAACTTACTGATGAAACACCAGAAGGGCAAAATATGTAGAAGGTATGTTTGTTTAAGCGCAAAGCTTTACAATAGGTGATCTGCGCTCTCTTTACCACGAGGAATCGAACCCCAGAATTTAGAGTTGAAAGTCCGTAAACTTACCTGTGATGGCCCAGCATGGCCAGGTGGTTAGGACGCTCGACTCGCAATTTGCTGATTGCGGGTTCGAATCCCCGTCACACCAAACATGCTCGCCCTTTCAGCCGTGGGGGCGTTATAATGTGACGGTCAATCCCACTATTCGTTGGTAAAAGAGTAGCCCAACAGTTTGCGGTGTTTTGTGATGACTAGCTGTCTTTCCTCTAGTCTTACACTGCTAAATTAATGACGGCTAGCGTGTAGCTTTGCGCGAAATTCAAACCAATCAATCAAACTAATTATCCTGTGAAATTGGCAGTCCAGCTCCTATAATTATTGCTTACCTACATGAACAATATAGTAAAACCTAAGAACCTAGGTTAAAAGTAATGTCAATGAACGAAGAAAACGACTGAAGTTTCATCACCAAATTATAAAAACGTAGCAATTATAAAAATCGCCCTGATCATTATGCTGTTGAAATTTTCTCTTAGTTGAAAGAACTGTAACTAACAGTAATCTCTCTCTCTATATATATATAAACTTGTATTTCATTGTAACAGGATACAGGTTTTTATGTAAAGCTACTCCAATATATATTATAAGGGTTTAATGATATTTACTATTAAATACTTTAAAACATTTATTAAGACATATTGTTGAAAACCGTTATACTTAAGCCTTATATTTGTTCATTTTTGGATATATACACAAATATTATCTGAGCTAGCTGGACTAATAGAATAAAGTGAAGGAATAAAGGTGTCGTGAATATTTTGTAAAAAAACATTTTGTATTATAACATTTTCGGTTTCCAATTCAGCGGAATATATTGTAGAAATATAGCTGTCATTACTTTCGATATTACAACTAATTAACTCGTTTGTATATTTTACGTCAAAGTAAGAATAGTATTTTCCATAAATATTTTTATAAAAACAAAGATATAACTTAGAAGCATTGGGAGAATACTTAACACTCTTAGGAAAGATAACAACAACAACGTGTTTGTAAACACTTAACACTCTTAGGAAAGACAACAACAACAACAACGTGTTTGTAAACATTATTTTTGAAATTGTCGTTTTAGCACAAAGCTAAATAATTGGCTATCTGCGTTAATTCCACTGAAGAGAATCGAACCTCGGATTTTAACGTTGTAATTCCGTAAACTTACTTCTGACCCATCGGGGAACATATTTTTAAAACAGTTACTTTATTCTAAATACGGAGGCTAATAAAAGCGTCTATATTTTTATGACACAGGGTTTAACTATTAGGTAAAGAAGAGGAAAAGCAATAAAATTAAAAGGAGTTTTAAAAAAAACTTAGTTTCCTCAGGTACGTCTTTTATTAAGGTATGTTTTCTCTTCTCTGACAACTGAGCTCTTCTACAAACCAATAACAACATTAAGTGCCTAAATCTCTTAACAAAGTCTTAAAGTAATAGAAGAGAAAGATCCTTATATAAAGAGCGTTTATCTTAAACAAAGCTATTGGTTTTGTATAGAAAACTATAGTTTATATGTTGTTCTTTTTAATGTATATCATAGGTTTAATGTCATAATCTTCAAAGTAAAAAATATCTTTCAGATCTTTTTTTTTTGAGAAAGTGATTATATCATTTTACATGGTGTGATTACACAAACATTTTGAAATATATATATATCTAAAGGATTTTCTTGTTAGTAATTAAATGATAAATGTAATTATAATATTTTAGTTAATATAATACAAAGACCCAACAGGTTTCGTTAACACATTTGGTGTTTTTTTTGCAAAGAGTTCAACTTTTAATGTAGAGCTTTTTCTATGGCATCTTTGGTATCATGGTTTTGTCATGTCATACCTGAAATACAAATAGACAAAATTTTATGAACAAGGCAAAGTCCACACCAATATCTGAAAATAAAGCCACTTTTATAAAAAATAATTATCTCCCTCAGTCCATTTTTGTTAAAATAAAACATGCAATGATCCACCATGCAGTCTAAAATGCAAGTGGCTTGGCATTCAGCCTCCACTCCATCAAGTAACATTTGGTAGAGATGGCTGTTTCATTAAACTCAGCAAGGAAAAGCTGGCATAAATGTTACATGTTTACAATCAAAGTGCTGATAAGGTCCTAAGATATCCTCGATCAAGCTTTTGGAAGAGTTGTTTCCAGAGCATCCTTAGTATCCAGGTTACTGTAACGGGCTTGTGGGCAGCCCGTGGACTTAGTCGTTGGGTTCGATGAGCATCCTTAGTATCCAGGTTACTGTAACGGGCTTGTGGGCAGCCCATGGACTTAGTCGTTGGGTTCGATGAGCATCCTGAGTATCCAGGTTACTGTAACGGGCTTGTGGGCAGCCCGTGGACTTAGTCGTTGGGTTCGATGAGCATCCTGAGTATCCAGGTTACTGTAACGGGCTTGTGGACAGCCCGTGGACTTAGTCGTTGGGTTCGATGAGCATCCTGAGTATCCAGGTTACTGTAACGGGCTTGTGGGCAGCCCGTGGACTTCGTCGTTGGATTCTACGTTATACTCTTTACAAAGAAATTTATTTGGATTTTAGGTTTAGCTTTCGCGAGAGGAACACACAAGCCACCAACTCGAGGACGTTTACGTGTGGAATAAAGAACTCACACAGAGACAACTGCATACACATCAAATAATCTTTTATTTATGCATTGTTGAGCATTTCATCTATATCGAAACTTTCAAGGTTATCTTGAAACAACACTAGCTCTAGGTCATTGAATTCATCGTTTTGAATATTTAGGTGTTCATTAATAAGGTCTTCTATTATGTTCAGTAACATAAACACAACATTAGTTAAGTTACCAACTAAATTATCACGAGAAATTCTCTCGGCCATAATCTGTATAACTGTATTAAGAATTCTTCTAAGATATATTTAAGTAATTCCACTTTAATTTAGCATTTTCAAATCTACTATTTCTTTATTGCAGTTAATGTTTTTTCACTTTTCTTTCTTTATACATTATAGATTATTGAACCTTAAGTGAAACACTGATAGTCTAGATCAGAAACAGCATACATATAAGGAGTTTGTGCAGTAAATTTCTTGTAGAGTCTGGATTACCGCCGTCTTCTGGAGTCAGAAAAATTCCCGAAGCAACTCAACTTTTGAGTCTGAAACATGGAATTATTTACACAATTTCTAGTATTTCTCCGATTGTCCAAGAAGTTCAGCAGATCTAAAAGAAGTAGTTCTTTTAACTAGACCAGTAGACTATTCCGTCAGACTGTAACCAAAATCCACTTTGTCCTTACAGAACTTATTTCTGTCCCTTATCTAATATCTTTGACGAAATCATCTTAGACAATTAACTTAAGATGTATAGAGACAAACCGTTTAATTTAGGTCTCTTCACTGATATCAATTCACTCATTGGTTTCGTCACCATTTCTTTAACTGCTTTTTGTGACATTGATTCATTTCATCATGTGCTTTATCTAAACAATTGTGGTTTTATCTCAACATACCACGTCTGTCTGGCGCAAGAATTCCTAGCTACACCTCTTAGACAAATACTTGTAATGTTTCTCTAACTAACTCATGCAATGGGCCTTAAGCCTGTATTTGATGTTTTGGTTCACTAGTTAGTGTCCACTTTTTTATAAAAATTTTTTCATCTGTTGCTTTCTCCATAAAAAATGTACTTCTTGGAAACCGTTGAATATGTTTTTACTTAGTATTTGTATTCCATAAATACTCCAGTATCTTGGTGGAATGCGACAAAGTATCCCATATATAACTTTTATCTAGTTGCAGTCAATGTTCTAACACCTGGAGAAACACTTGATGTGTCTAGAGCCTGGTTCCAACAAAATGGTGGATGTGGATATGTACTTAAGCCATCAAACCTTAGACATCGTATCGCTTCAGTGTCATCCACTTTCAAGAGACATGGTCCTGGACTCAATAGTATGGTTGTCCATCTAAGAGTAAGTTTATAAAATTTAATTTCTCTTTCTTGAGTTGCTAATAAAATTCTAATTGAAGTGGCTTGGTAATGCTCTATTTTTGTTGTATGACATCTTGAACAGAATTTTCAAAAATTGCTTCCAGTAGCTGTATTATAGCATTAACATAATAATTATTTTTTCACTATTTTTTTACCCCTCCATAACATCTTACTTAGAGTGAATTTGTTGATGTATTGTGTTTATTGTAAAAATAGTCATGTGTTATAATTTAAACGTACACACACAAGTATAAAACGCAAACATTTAAATGAGAATATTATATATATATATTAAACACTAAACTGAATTATATGTATCTATTTTTCTAGTGAACTTAAAGAAATAAATGGTAGTTTTTAGATGGATTTGAGAAGTCATTTTACTGACAACAATATACTCTAAAGACGTTAATAACAATACAGATAATAAGTCAAAAGACCTTATAACAATACAGTGATGTGTCCACCGAAATATTCCATGCAGGATTGTAATTACTTGCTAATATTTTGATGTCGTTGAATTTGTATTTTTCAGTATTCCTAGACATTACTCAGTTGATATTTTTTGTAAAGATAAAAACTTTATTGATCCAAATACTACTTTTATGGTTTGATAGATTCACATCCTTCAAATTATTATGAGTCTTGAGTTCCAAAACAAATCTTCCTTTCATACAATATTATTTGTTATAGACATTCTATCTTTTCGTAATACAAACATATTATGGTTTGGCCCGGCATGGCCAGGTGGTTAAGGCACTCGACTCGCAATGTGAGGGTCGCGGGTTTGAATCCCTGTCACACCAAACATGCTCGCCCTTTCAGCCGTGGGGGCGTTATAATGTGACGGTCAATCCCACTATTCGTTGGTAAAAGAGTAGCTCAAGAGTTGGCGGTGGGTGTTGATGACTAGCTGCCTTCTGTCTAGTCTTACATTGCTAAATTAGGGACGGCTAGCGCAGATAGCCCTCGTGTAGCTTTGCGCGAAATTCAAAAAACAAACAGATTATGGTTGTTAGGAAGGACACTTCTAATTCTACACAGGTTTTCGGATAGTATAACAACAAAAGTCAATTTTCCTGCATGCTGAAGATGCTACTAGTAACTTAGTGTCCTGTAAAACCCTAACAAAAAGCGTGAAGCGTGTAACAGTTCCTGAGCTTCATGTTGGTAATTTCCTTATACGCCCCTATAGTTACGAATGATCAAATTGAAGTATAACGTGGATATTTCATTTTCTTTGCAATAGCTACACACTTTTTGATTTACCAAATAACCCATCAAAGATACTTTTCGACAACTACAATATAGATAAACCAAATTGAAAGGTGTAGTGATGCCAAATATCAACCTAAAGTAACTTTCGATCCTTAAATCCAAGATTATTCCCAGATTATTATTGTTGTTGCAGATTATTAGTGGGCAAAAATTACCCGTGCCATTCGTAAGGTCCTTCAAGACAGGATTATTCCCAGAAAGTTTTTTTTTTTTCTGTTGTAGATTATTAGTGGACAGGGATTATCCGTGCCATTCGAAAGGTCCTTCAAGACAGGATTATTCCGGGAAAGTTTGTTTTTTTCTGTTGTAGATTATTAGTGGACAGGGATTATCCATGCCATTCAAAAGGTCCTTCAAGACAGGATTATTTCCAGAAAGTTTTTTTCTGTTGCAGATTATTAGTGGACAAGAATTACCCGTACCTAGCGGAGGTTCCAGAAAGGCCAATGCTATTGATCCTTACGTTCAAGTACAACTATTTGGTGTCCCAGCAGATTGTGCCGCAGCACACACTAAAACAGTATCAAACCAAGGTAACTTGTTTGTATAAAGCCAATACAAAAACATAACAACTATCTGTCTGTTTTCAAATCAATTATTTCAATTTGTTGCCGGCTTAAGCCAGAGTTAGAACTTTCTAATATGCAAACAAGAAACTGTGTTTGTAGGAAATATTTCACGCATCATCGATTATTTTCTAAAACTGTATTTCCTATTTTAAAGTCAATAATTAAATAACTAAAGAAATACAACCGTGCAGTTTTTCAACATCTTGTAGCCCAACTCGAACAGTTTTCATTGTCATGTTTTTTTGTTTTTTTTTCACTCCACTGAGTAGTGTTACCCCGTAAGATGGCAAAAGTGCAAGAAGAGGCTCAATGCGTCGTTTGGCTTGCAGGGTGAGCTAATTCCATAACCTTCGCATTCGCCAGGTATCACTACACTATACTTCTTTGTTTGGGGGTATGTTAAAGACATCGTGTATCGCACACCTATAGCAAACATTACGGAGCTAAAGACCAGAATAGCGAATGCCATCGCCACTGTAACTGTGGAAATGTTGCAGCGAACGCGGATTGAAATCGAATATCGGTTACGCGTGCTAATAATGGTGCACACGTAGAAATCTACTGGCATGTCAACAAAAAATGTTTGAGTTGGGCTACAAGATGTTGAAAACTGAGTGTTTGTATTTCTTTAGTTATTTAATGATTAACTACTGAAATAGGGAATATAGTTTTGGACCACCTTGTATCACAGTGGTGAAAGAAAAATCGAATATCAAATATTAATAACGTGTATAGCTGGAGTAAAATGACGACATAACAGTCAGTTTTTAATGAAATCTTATATTTAAATTGCTTATTAGGCCATTAGAAGAAATATATAAAAATAGTTAATATTATTTTCAGTAAACATTTATAAAATCTTGGATTTAAGAAGAATTTAGAATTTATAGAACGAGTTTTGATGAATAAGAGGAACTATATATACATGTGTGTGTGTGTGTGTATGTGTAAAGTACAAATATAATTCGTAATTAAACTATATATTTTATATTGATTGATCGGTAATCGGATGAAAAATATCATTCTCTGTCGAATGTACCAGAAACTTTTACGTGACAGCTAATAAAATTTTATCCATTGATGTTATAAAGTAACAGTTTTTACGTTATTCTTAGATACTTTCTGTGACGTCTATATTTATTTATTGTTTGTTTGTTTGTTTTAGAGCAAAGCCACAATAGGCTCTCTTCTGTGTCTACCATGAGGAATCTAGCCCCGGATTCTAGCGTTGTAAGCCCGTAAACTTATCGTTGTCCCACCGGAGTATATATTTATTGTTTGTTTGTTTTAGAGCAAAGCCACAGTAGGGTGGCTTTGCTCTAAAACAAACAAACAATAAATATATACTCCGGTGGGACAGCGATAAGTTTACGGGCTTACAACGCTAGAATCCGGGGCTAGATTCCCCATGGTAGACACAGAAGAGAGAGCTGAGAGGGCGAGCTTGTTTAATGGGACGGGGATTCGATCCCGCGACACGCAGATTGCGAGTAGAGCGCCCTAACCACCTGGCCATGCCAGGCTCAATACATAGCTGAACTTTACGTGACTCTCACATGTTATTCCTTCACACGCGAGCACATCATAAATTCAATATCAGCTGTTTTATAATTAATATGACTCCAGGCTTAACGTTTTAAGTATTCCAGATATAAGATACAGGTGTAGGGACTTTTTTAAAGGTCGTGAAGATGATATTAATCTAGAGATTAGATACAGATCATAATAGAATAACACATCAGTTTGAATAAATATATACTCCGGTGGGACAGCGATAAGTTTACGGGCTTACAACGCTAGAATCCGGGGCTAGATTCCCCATGGTAGACACAGAAGAGAGCCTTTTACATAAGAACATCGGCCTGTTTCCAAGCTGTTGGTATGTATCCTGTTTTTAGAGATAAGTTGTATGAAGATGTGAGATGTTCTAGTAATCTCAGCGGGCCTTTCTTGAGTAATATGTTTTGAATTTTGTCTAGTCCTGGTGCGTTGTTTTTCAAAAGTTTTATGTTTTCATGTACTTCTGTTACTGTGATGAGTCTGATAAGTTGTTTTGTTGTGTAGTCGTGTTCCGCTTCTATTGTTATGTTATTGTGTTGATGTCCTTAGTGAAGTGTGGTGTATCTATACTACGATTGGTTGTGACATAATTATTTACTGTGTTCATGAAGTGGTTGTCCATGTTTGAGTCGTCTGGTGTTTTGAAATTTTTTTGAAGTTGTTCTCCAAAGGTGTGTGTTTTCTGTTTATTCGTGTATGCTAGTTTATTGTTATGTTAAAGTGTAGGGTAGGTGGTGATAGTTGTATTATTTGACTTTGTAGCTTTTTTTTTTTTATATGGGACCAGAAATCTTTGGGATCTGTTTTTGAGTTTATTTGTGTACAGAAGGTGTCCCACCTGAAAATACACAATTAGTTTGGTGTGTTTTGAATATCGCGAAAAGGTACAAGTGGGCTATCTGCGCTAGCTGTCTGTAATTGAGTAGTGAAAGAGTAGACAGAAGGCAGCTAGTCATCACCACCCACCGACAACTCTTGGGCTACTTTTTTATCAACGAATAATGGGATTGACCGTAACATTATAACGCCCCCACACCAGAAGGAAGGAAAGTCAGCGGATAACCCTGAAAATTATAGACCCTTAAATCTAAAAAAGTAATCTAGGAAAAATACTTGAAAAAATGATAAACAGTAGACTCGTATATTAATTACCATGAAACTAAATCAATACTCCCTGGAATACAAAATGGATTCCGAATGGCAAGACAAACAACAGATAATCTCATAAGATTAACGGAAGAAATAATACACGGCTTTAATAAAAAACAATGTACAGTCACATGCTTCTTAGATGCTGAAAACGCATTCGATAAAGTATGGCACAGCAAACTCAGGTACAAACTGTACAAACTGGGATTTCCCATAGACATTATTCGCTGGGTTTCTAACTTCCTGGACGATAGCAGCATCAGAGTGAATGGTGAGGGCACCTACTCCCAGTGCTGAACTCCGGAGGCGGGTGTCCCTCAAGGAGGAGTACTTAGCCCTACACTGTTTGTCATATATGTCAGAGACATGCCTCTCAAAGACCCAAACCACACTCTTTTCTCACAGTTCGCAGATGATGTTACAATCTGGAAGAGTGCCCCAAACCCAACAACAGCAACATACAACGTACAACCACTACTAAATATACAACATACAACCACTACTAAATATACAACATACAATGTACAATGACTACTAAATATACAACATACAATATACAACCACAACTAAACCAAATGGAATTGTACTGCAATAAGTGGAGAATTAAAATAAATGCGCACAAAACACAAGTCGTATTACTTACAAGATTGTACAAAACAAGCAAATTAATACCACAGTTATATCTAGACTGAACTCTCTTACAGGTAGCAACATCAGCAAAATTCTTAGGGATGACATTTGACTCAAAATTAAACTGGATGCCACACACTAATAGCATAAAAATCGGAATTTGGAGAGAAAAAAAAGAAGCGAGCTACCTTAGGAGCCTGACTGTCAACAAACAAGAAGCTTCACCAGAAAACATATTAAATATTTACAGAACATACAAAAGACCAGTCGTAGAATATGCTTGTAAATATAACATACTGTGAGTAATGCAACAACAATGTAACAGGGGGGTTATTACCTAGGATTCAGTAACAGTGGAATATGCTTGTAAATATAACATACTGTGAGTAATGCAACAACAATGTAACAGGGGGGTTATTACCTAGGATTCAGTGCAAACAAAATAACAATTCCAGAGACGGAGGAAGAGGTCTACGCTGAACCTGACCCTCCCTGTCCAAAACATGGAACGAATCCCGATGTAGAAGAATAATCAGGTGGTCTGATCACTAACGTTGTAAACCACGTTTAGGTCACGTTTGTTCCCTCTCTTCCGTCTTTAACGTTTCTTAACCTCCAGCGTCCAGCAGCATGAGAGTGTCTTTTGAAAATGATACTTAAAATTCCCTAACAAAGTATCCCAAACTGAGAAGAAACAAGGTGTGTTTTAATATCATTTGAAGATATTTTATCTGCAATCACAGCACTTTTGGGTCTAGGTGGAGAATTACATCTGCTACATTATGGTAAAATATACCTTTATCCTGTTTATTACTGATGAATAGGTTTATGGGGATGATAAGAGGCCAGGAATATATTGTTCAAAACACGTTTTATTTTCTTAGTAGTTGTTATTTTTTTTGGTGGTGGGGGGGAGGAGACGTTATTTATAATTGAACATACTTTGGTTTAATATTGTCAAGTTCAAAATCTGTTTCATTCTCTGAGGATAAATCAGTAAAGTTTTATTTTTCACAAAATAATGTCGAACATTGTTCTGCTGTATCTTGGACTTACTTGACCGTTATTCCATGTAAACCATTCATCCTGTACTTCATTTATAATAATTAAATGTTTTATCCCCGTACTTCATTTATAATAATTACATGTTTTATCATGTACTTCATTTATAATAATTACATGTTTTATCTTGTACTTCATTTATAATAATTACATGTTTTATCCTGTACTTCATTTATAATAATTACATGTTTTATCCTGTACTTCATTTATAATAATT